CTGCTGGTTTTTTGGGGTGGTTAAATGCTGCTGGTTGCTGTAGTGGTTTGTTGCCTGCTTTTGCAGCAGCCAGCTGCGCTTTACTTTCTCTTCCTCTCGGGGTTGGTAAGCGCAATCTTCACTCCTGCAGGGAACTCACTTGAATATTTAATGCAACATTTTCAGCTATTAAATTATGTACAGATAACATTTCTTGTCTGCTCCTGCAGTCCTTGATTATGGTGTTCGCTCACTTGGTTCACTCACAACTGGAACCACTCCTGGAGTTCCTGTGTAGCCTCCCTGGACCAACCGGGAAGCCCGCGCTGGAGTTTGTGATGGCCGAGTGGATGAGCCGGCAGCACCTCTTCTACGGGCAGTACGAAGGGAAAGTCAGGTAGGATGTTTCACAAGCAGGATCTGCTCATTAACAGAGCGCTCCTGGCACGTCCCGCCCAGGAAGGGGGGGACAAGTGACTTAGATTTGTCATTCCCCAACAGAGTGGGCAATGGTGAGACAAGTCTCAAGGTCCACACACAAACATTTATTGATTTCTCACAGCGTATAGATGGGACCCACAATAACTGGATTTAGTTACACGTACTGATAGCCAGGAGAAGGCTGGGTGTGCAGCAAACTGCAGCAAGCTGCACGGGACTTAATGGTAACACGTAGCGGTAACGAGGGAAAAGGACATATAACAGCGTCTAACAGGCAGTATTAGACTGAACGTTTACAGGACAGAAACTTAAGTATAAACTAAGCAAGCAGTATGATAGACTGTGCATTGCTCAGTGAGAAAGGGGAAAGGGAGAGAAAGAGAGGAGAGGGGGAGGAAAGAGAGACACAGATCACTGATCCAGGTTCCTGTGCTGGTACCGCCAGCGCGGGCTCAAGGGTACCATCACCTTTACTTCTCCTGCGCTGCTTCTTCTTATCTACATGCTGCTGCTTCTTCTGTCTCACTTTGTTCTTTATCCCACCTCACTTTCTCTGTATGTGGATGTACATACGTCCGGTAGGGAAGCAGAGCACTTCATTATTTACGACCATGTGCAATTGCCGTATCTCCTTGGGAGATGTGCTATGAGACAAGACCATCCTGCCTTCGCGACATTCCTGATCTCGTGCATATTCAGGTCAAGGCTGTTTGAGACATCTGCTTCCTGCTTCCCCAACCACGTTCCAGTTGGCACTTGGCAGTTTCCCACACAGCACCAGAAACTGGTCTTGGTTTTGACCAAGCTGGGGGTTTGTAAAATGCCAAGAGGTGTTTAAGGCAAACGTTCACACATCTGTCTGCTACAACCCCGTTGCAACTAAATGGGTGTGAGGGAGAGGGAAGCTGCTTCAGGCTTGGATTAGCGTGTGCTGGTGTTGAACAGAATTAAATTTTTTCCTGCGCTGTCAGGGAAGCTCAGGAGAGCGGCAGTAACTGGAGCGATCTCTGATTTTCCTCTGAGTGCTCTTCTGGCTGCCCGGTGTCACCGTGCTGCAACGGGCTGATGCGAGGGGCAAGGGGGTGTCTCCTGCGAGCACAGGAGCGCTTTTGAGATTGAACTTTGGTGAGTGGGATGAGAACAGCTTGCAGGTGGGAAATTGCCTTTGTAGGCTACTGTAGAGTTTCAGGGTATTGGAGAGGATTTCCTAAGAGAATCTGGTGATTTGTTGATTTAATGATCTCTTAAAAATCAACAGAGAAATCAGCTGAAACAGTTTGCTGTTGCCATAGGAGCACGTTTGTGGTTCCAGTGGAGGCCAAGTACTGTATTCCAAAGCATGAAATGCTCTCTGTTAATTTAAATTTTGCCACAGCTGCTTTGTTGGTTTATTTTTTAATTATTTTTTTTTCCTGGAAATGGGAAGCCTAACAGACCACTCTTAGGGATCTCACCAGCTGTTAACTCCTCACTTCTTCATACGCATTGGTGTGTTATTGTTATAAGGCACTCAAATAGCCATGGAATAAATAACAAGTAAAAGTGTGTTTAAACTGGCAGTTTGTGACTGACCCTGCAGAACGAGAGGCAGTTTGATTTGGGGATCTGGTGCCATTTTCGGTCACACTTGGTCTGTTTGAACGCCAAGAGCAGTGATTTATCCCCGTTGTGACAGAGCACAGTTGTCTCTGGGATCCCGTGAGACTGGTTCTGGCCACAGGGAAGAGTCAAGGCTGGTGCCAACAGGGAGAAGAAAAAGCTTAAACTTCGTTGTTGGGTGCTGTCTCCGTCCTGTCCAAAAGAGCGAGTTCCACGGAGCTCTGAAACTTCACTTTGAGCTATGTGGAGCCAGGAGAGAGGTTTGGATGCCAAGCGTCAACTGGTGGCCTTCGCCTTTAGTCATCATCACCCTCAGTGTGGCTTGAGAGCAGCCTGGAGCTGGAGGAGGTTTGAAAGTGTGAAGCAGAAAAGTGACCAGCAGAAAGGGAAAGAACATATGAAGATGCCAGAGGAGCAAACTCAGAGGGCCTGAGTGTAGCAGAGCTGTGAGGGACCACAAGTCAAAAAAAAAAAAAATTATGTCCATGGCTGCAGATCAACCAAATTACTGCTTTGTTGCCACTGTTTTCCTCTTAGTTTCGTCTTGGTCTGCATGTGATGCTTCGGGAGTGGGTTTAATCTTGTGACCTTTTTGAACTGGGGAAAAAACTCACTTTAGCAGAGGTAGGCACTGTTTCGTGGTGTTTAATCCGCGGCTTTGTCGGTTTTCAGCTTGCTGTCCAGGTCAGGTGAGTCGGGTTGCAGATGCTGACATAAAGGAGGAGATACAGGAAAATTCAGTAATGTGTGTTCTTGGCAAAAGTGTAGAAAAAAGGACGTCAGAGTGTGTGCTCTGGAGCTGTGGTGTCTGCTCACAGTTCCTTGTGGAAGCTGGGCAGGCTGGGGAGATTCTGATCTGCGGTTTTCCAGCTCGGTGGCACTGTGCAAGCTGCTGCAGTACGGCATCAGCACCGACGACAAGCGGCTGCAGGACATTCGGGTGAAGGGAGAGGAAATATTTAATATGGACGAGGGGATACGGACACGATCAAAGTCGGCCAAAAGTAAGTAATTGTTTTGCTGGTTTTAACAGTTGTTTGAGGTGGGTTGTTTTTTTCCTGTGAATAGATGCTCTGAAAGGACTTAAAATAGATCTTGCAGATCACACAGAGCTGTGGGAGAGAGTTCCTACAGAAGGTGCCCGTTGTTTTTTAGAGCTAATTTATACATCGTGTACTTAATTTGCCTTACTTCTGCCAAGCACTGATTTGGAAGACTCCTGATGTTTCTGATTCAATAGGAATGGATGAGGTGATTATGGGATAGAGGGTTATTCTCTGCTATTTTGCATCATCATGTTCCATCTAATGAGATAGAATCAATAATTTCATTATACCTAATAGCTTCTCTGAGAGGAAAATACATTTAGTGAATGCAGAGATTTTTTTTTTAAAAAAAAAAGTGATGTGAATTTTTTATGAGACTTTCATAGAACTGTAGAATGTCTTAGGTTGGACGGGACCTTAGAGCTCATCTCACCCCACCCCTGCCATGGGCAGGGACACCTCTCAACCAGCCCAGGTTGCTCCAGGCTCATCCAACCTGGCCTGGCACATCTCCAGGGAGGG